TGTGTGTGGGGCGTTCACTCCGTCTCCTGACACAGTAGCAACACTGGCAGTAGCGTCAGCCCCAAACAAAAGGCTAAACGCGGCAGAGCCACAGGAGGAGGAACTCAGGGACAGGAGCCGGCACAGCGGCTCAGTGCGGCTGCACTTCTCAGGGAGGAATTCCGTGGCCATTTAACCCTCCTGACACCAGGGTGGTGGAGACAGGGCAGTTTACGAGGCCGGGCCAGACTGTGTGTCTGCCTGTGTGTTTGATCTGACATCACCCTCTCACTGACAGATCTCTGACTCTGACTTTGTTTTCACTCACACCTCTGCGTCCTCTGTGGAGACCCCTGCACCTGCACCTGCACTTTGGGACCTGGACGTCTTTCCTCCCCCTGCCAAGTGTCCTCCAAGATGTCAGAAGATGACTGTCTCTCACCCATCGGCCTGGACTGCTGCAACTGCTGCCTGGACCTTGCCAACGGCTGTGTTGAGTCCATGTCTGACAGTCCGGCTCAGAGCCCCCGTACTCCGGGGGGCCTTCCAGGAAGCCCTACCAACTCCAGTGTCAGCCACTTCCGCCAGCTGCGCAACCAGCTCATGTACCAGAACCTGAACACAGACAAGCTGAACAACATCATGAGGCAGGACTCCCTGGAGTCAGTGGTGCGGGACCCCTGCTTCCTCCTCAACGAGGGCATCTGTAACAGCAACATTGACCAGACCATGCTGTCCATACTGCTCTTCTTTCACAGGTGAGTCTGTCAGCTGCTCATCTGATGGACACCGGCTTAACCTCGTTAAATACGACAATATAATACCCATAATGCAGTATTTTAGAATGACATTCCTTCTTAAAGTACACCTGACAGTTCGGCTGATTCATTGTGCATATCAGAGCAGCTGCGGTTAAAACTGACAATGTTGGACATGAGTTGTTTCTTAATAAAGAAATATATCAAATGATTTATTCTAAAACACTCCCATATTTGACATATTTGTAAATAGAAAAGTGCAGCACATTTCAGTCATCAATATTTTTCACCTGACGTGAGGGGAAACCTGTGAGTCTTCCTGACATTTTTGCATACCCAAAATCATTGGAAATGTATTCAAATCATACCCCCCCGACTCCCTCTCCCCGTCCACGAATGATGTGTGTTTTTATTTGCAAGCTGTCCATCTCAAACAGGCAGCATGTTTCACTGCTTACATAACACTGTGAGATTTTGGGTGACACTCATATCAGGAAACACATGGCAGTTAATACTGACCCTGGACCGGCAGCACATAAACATGACTTTCTGACCAGGCAGAACAGGTTAATGTTAATGTTTTATACTGGCTAATAGGTGGTTAATTGTTAATGAGTATCGCACAGTAAAATCAATCTGGAAATGTCCTTGACTCAGGGGTGAGGGTAGAGTTCAAATGAGTCTAAAAGTCGAATAGATTGTTGTTGATTAAAAACCAAAACAAAAAATAAAACAAGAAAAAAATCAAATTTTTACATATCAGTTTGGATAAATAATTTTTTATCTATAAAGGGCAATAATTGCTGATTCCAGGACCTGGTTATCTCCCTGATGCTTATAAGTTGTTGTGGCGAGGATGATAATATCCTGCAGCCCAGACAGCTGCCAGTCCCAGATTGTGTTTGGTAGCTGCCGGTGAATGACCTCAGCCTCAAATGAACAGTTTCCATCTTTACAGTTGGTCGACTGCAGCGTTGAGCGACTCTGAACTCTTGTACCTGTGCCAGCAGTTACTGTACGGCCTCTGCTGAGTGAGGAGTTATCGCCTCACCCGCTCCATGTGGCTATCAGGGGAGATGTGTGGTGAAAGAGCAGAGGGCAGTGAGAAAAACAAGCTGTTACGGTGATCACCTTTGAATGCCACATGTATTGAGTTTATTTTACGTCACCTGAGGCAGTAAAACAGAGACGTGTTACGGGGTCATCGCATATGTGTCAGACATGTAGTACAGTATGTTTGACACGAGATAACATGGACGTGATAGTGGGTTATTATAGTGAGCAGAAAGAACACTCATTAAAAGTGACCTTTGCTCATTATTGTCTCAAAGTTTGTGTCTGATTTTTTTTTTCAAGACTCCTTACTTTTACTCCTGTGGTTGGCTTGCACACTGGACAAAAAGTTTCACCCAGAAAACAACACAAACCAAAGAAAGCAAATGTAAAACTAGTTCTTGTGCAAAATTGGATAAAACAAACTTTTAATTTAAAAACTCCCATGACACACCACCGAACAAAAATGTCCCAAAAATATATGTAAATATGAAATGAATTAATATGAATGAAAAACAATTTCTTGTTGTTTTAAATTATTCACAGTTAACTTACAACCTGGGGCCTTTTGAGTTGAACACAACACTGATATACTCACAGGAATTGAAGAAAGACACATCTGATCCTTCCTTTATTTATAGCCACCTGCTGCTACAGTGGAAGAACACTTAATTAATGTCACTGTCATACAGAAACCAACACACACACACAAATATATAAATATTTGCAAAAACTAAATAATTGTTAAATCTAATTAATTGAAATCATACATTTTTACAACTATATCTCTATATATTAGTTCATCCAACCCTAATGACAGTGTAAAAAACAAAGCACATTTTAAGATATAAATATTAGTTCATCCAACCCTAATGACACAGTGTAAAAAACAAAGCACATTTTAAATGTAAATCAATATAATCCTGACCTTGGCTTCAGAGCAATTCCAGGAAAAACATGCTCTTTTCCGTTTCTTTTTAGGTTAATAGGCTCTGAGATAAAACGCACCTGTTGGGAACATGTTATGGTGTTTTTTCTATTGTTGAGTCACATATTTGCCGTCAATATCATATCGTCAGTGTCGTGCAGCTGAGATGTTTTATCAGTGTTTTTTATCAACCTTCTCCAGTCAGTCTGCCTCAGATGATCTGAACGGGTTACATTTTAACCCGTCTTCACTCTGTAGTATTTACTGTGGGCTGTTTAAGGCTGTTTATCTGTTTGTCTTATCTCCCATGGTGCCGTTAGATAATGACCGACTGCAGCCAATAGTGATGTGGTTGGAGTTCAGACAAAGAGCTCCACCTGGTTGTTTTAAAAATTGTCAGTTGGATTCAAATGTTACATGGAGTTCAGAAGAAGAAGCAAATCCCTTAATTCTTCGTAGTATTTATACACACAGTTAGCAACACCTTTAGCTACACGTGTTGAGCAGGGGAGTTTTGGTTCTTACAGATGTGGAAGTTAAACACTGATCATTTTTTATGACATAAATCTACCTGCAGTGTGAATGTAGTATATGCTGTGGTTGGCATCTGGGTTGTCTAGATTAAAAGCTGTATCGTCATCTATTTTCCTCTAAATGGGATTGTAATTTCTTCTATAACAGTAGAACTAAACTTATTTGCATGTCCAGGATAATGAAACTATCCAGAAATCCTTCCTTCAACTTCAGTTTGTGTCCATGGAAGCTGTGTGCATTTATTATGTACAGTCTATTATTACAGCGCTGCGCTGTAGACATTAAAGCATATCTGTGGGAAAGTGTGCGATCCAGTCTGCTAATAATACTTGTTACTCTCTGTGTGTAATTATTTATTTTTTTCCAACCTCAGTTCTTTTAGCTCCATTCAAATGACAGATGCAGCTACTGTGCATTCAAGATGCATGCAAAAGAAAAGCTTCAGAATGATTTAATAATAAAACATTGTGTGACATTGTATGAGTCACAGACAGGTGCAGGAGTCAAAGACAATAAAACTTTTTATACAATGCGTTAAATACTCGCTAATCCGATTCCACTTAAACAGATAATGATCTGGTTGTAACTTTTTTCAGCGATGGCACAATCCAGGCGTGATTTATGTATGATGGGAAGGGTGTGTCAATGTCACACTGCAGGAGAGATACCAAGGCGTTTGGAGAAATGTCCAAGAAACCGCTCCAGCTAACGTGACCTCTGGCAACGACGACTGACTAAGTCACCGGGCAAACTCTACTGTTTTATTTTAGGATTTTGTAGTCGCTTTCAGATGTTTTTGTACGGCTTTGGGTGATGACGCTGTCGTACTCTCACGACGCCAGCTGGGTTTTGTTGAGTGAGTTACACGCTCGTGTTGTGCCTTCTCTCTAAAACAGAGAATTCTAGGGTGCCGCAGCGTTCTGTCTTTAGTTCTACATCATATATGTCTAAGTTAGGAACAGAACAGCCATGTCGGTGGAGTTACAACAGGTCACACATGCCAATATTTGTAACGTTTCTGGCATAGAGGCGATGATTTCACCCAATGCCATTGGCAAGTGTGACTCTGCAGCTGTCTCTGCCAAATGTTTGCCTGATAAACACAGTCTTTAGCGAGAACAGTCTGTTCCCCAAGCTTTCCTTTCCAGAGAAGCAGTCACAGGCAGATCACGTGTTTTGTTAATCAAAGGCTTTCGCTCAGGATTTATACCTTTTATTTAACTATTTCACATATTTATTTTCAAAGAAAAAAAAAAAATGCCACAAAATTTTTTTTAAGTTCAGTCACAATCTTCCAAAGCCAGCCTTAATCTCCAGGTTGATTATTTACACTGACCTCAGCCTGGGTGGTCAGCTCGATGCAGCGGCTATCATTTTCATTTTCCACTTGCTGACAACTGTGTGTCTATTTGGTTTTATGAATACGAAGCAGCAACACGAAATATGTTATGTAAAGTAGTCCAGGGTCAGAGGTACAGTATGTGCTGAGAGGACAACTGCTCTGGTTTCGGTTGAACTAAGTCAGAGTCTGTGCTTCCTACTGGAAGACAAAGGGAATGCACTGATTTTATGTCAGACCTGAGAAGGTACACTACACTTGGCTGCACGGTACAGAGACGCACTGTTGCACACCTCCGCCCCTGCAGTCAGCCCCAGCACTTAGCAGCCACTAAACACCATGATGAGGTCAAGAGTGTTGAAAAGCCTGCAGCTCTGACACATTAACATTTAAAACAGGGCCTGGTGCCTGCGGTCAGTCGGTAGGCGGAGGAGAATGAAACCAGCAATGATACAAAAGATGTAACAAGCTGTTGAAGAGTTCATAAATGAAGCGTCAGATCTGGTTTCACAGCCTGACAGGAGTGAGTGGGAGGTAAAAGGCCTTCACACAGCCAAGTGCACCATTCTATTTTTATTGAGCATGTGAATTATTTGCAAAAAATTTCAGGAGCCAACAACTGCCCAGAACTATTGACAAAACTTTTAGCCTCCTAGTCTTTTTAGCCCCAACAACCTTGGCCTCATTACAGTGGTTCAAAGCACCTCCCTTTAGCCTTAAATGATCACTGGTCCGCTGGCCCTGGTCCAGAGAGAAACCCTGCAAGAAAACAAACTACTAACCTTGAATTACAGGCCCAATAATTTGACCACAGACCAGCCCACAGACTAGACATGACATGATTTGAACACACAACCTTCTGATCTGGAGTCGGATTTTCTAAAAGAGTTTGGTATAATGTTGTTATAAAAAAAACAAAAACTACATCAGTCTGTACTGTACCCTTTAACCTTTTACAGCTACACTGTAAAAGTACCAAAATAAAATAATCACAAAACAGTGATCCAACACGGCAACCTTTCAAAGAACCCCCCCGCCCCCCACTCGTCTAATGCACAGTGTAGATATACGTATAATGTCTGGACAAATTCTAGACAAATAGGAACAATTGATTCCTTCATATTATTTATTTCATTTATTAATTAA